AAAAGCCCCCGCTGACACCAAGCTTGTTCACCACATATGGTAAATCAAAGCTGGCAATCGCATCCACAGCAGCTACACGCACTTTATCGTCAGCATCGCGAAGCATGGACGCGACATGCTTGATGAGACTCTGCTCCTCGTTCTCACTCAGCCCCGAACCACCGGCGGACGTGAGCAGAATTCGTCCCACTACAGTCACCCAAGCAGCGCGGACCGAAGCCGACTTATCCAGACGGCGGCTGATAAAGCTTTCATAGGTGGAGCTGTGCGTTTGCGAAAATGGCTTCGGAGAGAACGGCGTCAGAAGAACGCTGGGCTGAGGCACGGTCTGAGCATACTCAGCCAGGGTTACAGGTGGGTAGGCCGCAGGGTCCATTGGCGGCGGCGGGGGTGGTCCAGCAACCCCGATTCCAGCCGTCAAATCGCCGATTGTCTGTGTGGCCAGCAGACGCAAGGCTAGAGACTCCGCCGATAACTCGGCCTCCAGTTGGGGGATCACATTCTGCAAGACCTCCGGGCAAGCTTTCCACAATTCACGGATCAGACAATGTGCTTTGCTCAGCTCCTTGATATCTTCTCCTTCCTCGTCCGAGTCGTCCAAGTTTGGCCTTCGATGGGCACTCTTCGAAGATCCGTTTGCGCCTGGCGCGGGAGCCGAAGCGTCGATGATGACATTGTTGAAATACTGGCTGATATGACTAGTCATTCTTTCCGGGCATGCTTGACAAATTGCCTTCGCCATGTTATAAGCGGGAGGATAGTCCTTGAGGAGGAGAGTGCCCTGTTTGGCGTCAACAGGAGTTTCGCCTTTTCTTCCCCTCTTGTTGGGTAGCTCCAAGGCGCGGGGATCGATGCGCAAAAACTGGGCCACGATGACATCCACGACATCGGGAGCCAAGACAGGCGATTCGTCAATCACCGTCACGAGAAGGCGTGTCATATCAAACTCAACATTCTTGGCGACTTCCTCCCCGGTGGAGTTCTTCGAGGACCCAGAGACGATGTCGAAGCAGCTTGTGAATAGCGGGATAATCAGCGTGTCTGGGTGATCTAGGTCAGTCATGAGCACGATGCTCTTGACTTCTGCGAGAGAGTTGAGGACATAAATGTGCTGAGCGTTGTAAGGGTTTGACGGGTCCCCTAATGCAGGAATAATGGAGGTGACTATAGAGGTAAAGATATCCTAGATTGTCCCGCGGTAAGTCAGCATTGCCCGCATCGAGACGAACCGCACTCGATATCAGACAGCCTCTCGAAGCACATCAATTGCATCGACGACCAAGTCAGACACGGGTAGTGATCATGTTGGCGCACCTTCAGTTGGTTTGCCGTGAAAGGCGCGTCAGGAGCACAAAGGCGCAAGATGTCAACGATGCAGCAGGCCGTCCAAGCCCTAACACCTTTGTCCTTATGCGCCAGAAGATGAGCGGTGGCTAGCTCCTGCGACACCTTCTTCAGCGAGTCGGTGTCGATTTCCTCCTGCTCGAGTTTGCGGAGCTCCTGCGCGAGGGTCTGCAGTCGTGAAAGTAGATCGGCCACGGGGATGGCGGCTCGTCCTACGCGCCAGGACAACGGGTCATTGAACTTGAGACGACGCAGACCGCCGGAGATATCTTCATGGTCCACGACCTCCGTCGCGACGGAGGGACCTTGACGAGTGCGCGCGGGCATCGTGGACGAAGCGCGGGGGACGGGAGCCGATTGAGGGTGAACTTCAACACACCATGCGCGGCGCGGGTGGAGGCGGGAAACAGGATGTGGTTATCAAACGGGGGAGGAATTCAACCTCCGTTATGTGGAAGAAGAAGTAAACAATAAAAGAGAGAGGGAAATAAAGGAGGTTCGATGGGAGGAGGAGGGGAGTGGGGGGGGGGGAGGGAGGAAGTTAGAGGGACAGGAATCAATTCGGGTGAAGAGTGGAAAGGTGGTTTGGTTAGCTTTGCGGTCGGAGGAGCAGTACAGGTACAGTACCGCAGCAGCAGCAGTAGCGGCGGCAGCGGCAGCAGCAACAACAGCAACAGCAACAGCAACAGCAACAGCAACAGCTGCAACACCCAAAAGGATCGCCGACCGCCTTTGACCGCCTTCCTTCCTATCGGGCGGGACGCGTCGTCGCGCGACTCCAAAAGCACTTGGCCTCTTTCGGTGGTTTCCACTCGCATCCATCATGGATCATGGAACTTAACTTACTACCTAATACCGCCGTACTACCTACAGGAATCGATACAATGTCCAGTCCGCAACCATGCAATCATGCAATTTGACAATCAAAGCATATTCCATCTGAAGGAGACATCATTCCTACTATATACTATCTGCCAGCTGCCCGAAGTGTCTAACTAATCTATCCCTGGCTAGCTTTGGACCGAGGGATCTTCAACTCCCCGGCATATGACGTGGCCACGCTCATCCTGGGCCTACTATACAATGAACCACATGTTGATGCAGAAAAGGACACATGCGGTGAATTTCAGGCAAGCTAAACAAGCTAAGAGAAACTCAACGGCGAATCTCATTCACTTACTAAGAATGCAGTCTTATCTTCAACACCGCATTACAGTCCGGCCGATCATGCTTAACGACCTTTCGCTCCACAGGCAAAGGCAAACCATTCAACCACAGCTTGATATATTGTATTACATTCAGCCAGTATATATGCAGATGAAAAGGCAAACGCTATCTATGCCGCATCGAGATGCCGCTATGCTATGCACATATCACATATACCGTTCAATAAACATTACCCATTTGATCATATACCCGTCACAAAAACGCCATCAAGGTGAGTGGAAATTCTAATGCAAGTCTTTCCTGGAAAACGGAAAGAGGAATAGAAGAAGAAGAAGAAGAGGCTCATCGTCCGTGGAGGTCGATAGTGTGGGTTCACAGCTTAGGACTGAACTTGCTCATGGCCCGCAGCTTCTTGCCATAGAAGAAGAAAAGGACCGGAATGGGGATCATGGCCAAGGTGATGAAGCCAAGCAAACTGGAAGCCCAGTCCACACCCAACTTGTTGTACATCTGCGTGGCGAACAAGGGGAAGGCACCGCCCAGACTGCTGCGGACGAGGGTGTTGGCAGCAATGGCCGAGTTGGCAAACATCAGGTACACATCGATGATGTAGTTGAGACCCTGCATGAAGATAACCAAAATGCCCATCCCGATGGGGATGCCGGCGAAAACTTGGGCAACCCAGGAGGTGCTCGGGTGCGAACTCCAGCCGAACCAGAACAGACCCACCGGCAAGAGAACGGAGGCAATCATCATAGGAGGCAGTCGTTCTTCCGGGGTTACGCGCCCATGCTTGGCCAGCTTGCGGGCGAACCGTGTCTTGGTCTGCCAGACAATCAAAGCCACACCACAGATCACTCCGATCAGGATTCCAATGAACGGGAGTCCCGCGATACCTTCGTTCGTCCAGCCACGCACCTCCTGGAAGGACACCGGGTAAGCTTCGAAGAACAGGTAGAGAATTCCATAAACCAAAGCCAGATATAGGGTGATGGCAAGCAGGATCGGCTCGAGGAACAGCATCAGCACCGGCCGCAGCAGATACTTGGAAGCGATGTCCTTCATTGTGGGGCGGCTCTTGTCCAGCAGCGCGTATAGCTCAGTGTTACCGGTCTCCTTGCGAAGGCGGGCTGCTCTGCGTTGCAAGAGGACGGGAGCATATGTTTCGGGGACAATAAAGAAAGCCAGAAGTCCGAAAGCCGCCGAGGCGATCAGGGTGATCCAGGCGGTCCATCGCCAGCCGAGGCTGGAATCGGTAAGGAAGCCACCGACAATAGGACCTGGCATATCAAAGTCAGTCGACTGGCACAAGTAACAAAGAACGGGGGAAATCACGTACCAAGCACAGGTCCAACGAATGTGGCTGATGCAAACAGGGAGATAGCGATTGCACGGTCAACAGGATCCCAGAAATCGGCCAATGCACCGCCAACAACAGCGAGGGGGGAGCAACCGAACATTCCGATGATGAACCGACAAACCAGAATGGTCTCAACGTTCTTGGCCACGGCGACCGGGATCTGGAAGATGGCGAACATGAGATAGCCAGAGAACAGAGGAATCCGGCGACCATAGAGCTCCGAAAGAGGAGACCACATCAATGGGCCGACGGCGAAGCCGAAGACCACCAAACTCGTACCCAGAATCATGACTTCGGTTGACACGTGAAACTCTTCGGCCGTCACAATGGTTGCCGTTGAGAAGACACTACTGGCAAAGGTGATCCACATCGTCATGAAGGCCATCGACATGGTGATCACCCATTTCCTCCAGTAATTCATGTTGTGGGGGTTTTCAGGGTCGTTGGGCCCATCCCATTCGACGAGGTTAGGATCTCTTTGCTTCTCTTCAGCTTTCTCCAGCTGTTCTTCGGGGATGTTGGCATCCGAGTCTGATCCATTGCGTTCCAAATCCTTGTCGAAAGCGTGGTCAATTTCCTTCTCGTGATCTCCGGTCGCCGCGATCGATGCAGATCTAAGGGTGGAATCGGACGATTGAAGGGGTGCCTCGTTGCTCTGCTCGACCTTTGAATCGATCTCCGGGGCACTGCTACTATGAGGGGCGCTCATCTCGGGCGACTGTGGCTCGCGTGGGAGCAGCGAACGGTGGGTGACTTGCGATTCTATCCCGACTTAGGGCTACCACCGGACAGGGGGATAAGAGGGGAGAGTTGATGAAACCGTGGGTAGGTGTGAGAGTGATATTGTGTCAACACCTCGAAGACGAGAATTCTATGACGAATTTTATTGAAGACGAACAAGGGAACCAGATGACCCTTGCCACGGGCTCTGGCCAATGCTATATACAAAAGGAACCTTGTTTGAACGAGGGGCCACTTTACCCGCCAGGCAGAGCAGCAGGGGAAAAAATCCCTGATAGCCTATGGGCAACCAATAGGCAACCTATAGAAGAGCAGGTATGAATCACAGCGAACAAGCATTAGTCAAGGTCTCGGGGTTAACTAACTAAGGGAACGCGAGCCCGTCCCCACTCAGGCCCCGATGGTCCAAGTGCGCCGTCGCCGTGTCTTTCGAGCTCGTTAAGTCCGGCCATGTGGGCAAAGCTCCGTCTTGGAATTTCCCGACCAGCAAGCTGTTAGGTTGATCGGCTCGTGAGATGATGTCTCATCCTGCAGACCAAAGTCGTCAGCAGCCGTGATACCCGAGATAATGCAGTCAGTAAGCTGCATAACGATGGCTGTCGGCCCTTTGTGTGAGGGAGGAGGGTGTGAGAGTAATCCAAAGTTAATTGATAATCGCAGTCATGATGATGAATGCCAAATGAAATGGCACCGGGGGAAGTCCGGTCGCCTGACTCGTGGAAAGTTCAAGCTTAGTGGGAATTGGAATTGGAACTGGCTCGCGCTCTCGGCACTTCCGACCGCCGACATTTGGGTTAAGGAGACCCGCCGGCTTGGCTACCTTGGGAGTGCCAGAGTGGGTGCCTTCGTTATTTTTTTTTTCTTTCGCTTCTGTTTCTTTTCCTCATTCGACCTTTTTCGAGAGCCTTCGCGAGGACTTTGATATTCGCCTCGCCCCGCTGAGTCTTCTTCGAGATAGACTGAAGAATCTTGGCGAAAACGAAGCCGTCGACCTTCGGGTTGTTTCGAATAGAGTGAACGATCACATTTCCACGGTCTGCTCTATCAATCACATATCAGTCACATACACACAAGGCTAAGTCAGGAGCTCCTAACGTTGGGTGTGTATGCAGCAACCCGCACAGCTGGCGATTCCCGATCAAGCCTATTCCGTACACTCCTTCCGGTAGAACCACCACCACCAACTAAGCAACAATCTATCAAGCCACTTAAGATTCCCTCCTCCTTAACCCCGTCGGTCGGGCGGCTCCTTCAAGCCAACTTCACGCACCACGACGTGATACTCAAACTCGCCGATTCCTTCAGTAGTATGAGTATGACTCTGCCCGTCAATCCGGAAATTAGTCTGATCTCCAGGAAGACCACGACCTGCAATCTCCCGACACTGTTTGTACTGTACATGCAGCGTTGTCGATTCCCTTCCTCCTCCCCCTCAGAAACACTCATTTGCAAAGAGTACGGTATCCAGGATTGAAAACCAAATTAGGTACGGAGTAGTCCAGCAACTATCCAGAAATCCAGACACCACACGCGCAGTGGGGCCTAGTTAGTAGCCATGGATGAAGCGAAAAAAAAAAAAAAAAAAAGGGGGGGGGGGGGTTTCCCGGGGGCCCTACGTATCTAGATAAGTCTAGATTTCGACGGAGTACACCCGAAAGGAAAATTCCATTCCTTCCATCTATCCACCCAGACAAGACTCATTGTACATAACCCAGTGTTCAAACGAGGGTTCTTATGCCGATGAGTGTGGCATCGATCGACCTAAGGAATAGGTAGCTTACGGTGCTCTACACAATGTACTGTACATTCAATCCCTAAAACATGGCGGTAGCGACTAAGACTACCGAGTTCCTAGCGATGTTTTAGACTACGTCGTTCTGTATGCACAGTACTGTACACTATGTCTACCTAGCACGTAGTTCAGACAGACTAAATATGAGTACCTAACATACCGTGAGGTGAGGTAAACAGTTAACTAAGTTAATTTATCACCCGATTAGTCATCGGCGCAAGCATCCGACGAAAACACGCACGGGCCATGTTAACCATCACCGCAGCCCTGAGCAAGTCCAGTAACTTACCAATTGCAGAACACGGAGATGAGGGAGGATCTTTGCTGGTGACGAACAACAAGTCACTCAGACACTACCGGTAGGTACTAACTATACCTCGCCTGTGGTCAGTCTAAGCGACTGAGAACCGGGGACGGTGAAGCGCCTGTCTGGCCCGACCTACAGTCTATATGGATACGCACGGTATCTTTTGGTTGTTCTCCCGCGTAAGTTGCGATGCGAACAGGTCCAACAAGTCCAAGTCCAGGTCCAAGTCCACACAGTGAAACCGCCCGACCTGCACGCTGTCCTTGATTTCTCCCGTGCATGCGGCCCTTGGGGATCGGCATTCTTTGCCGAGGACGGAGGCGGGCGATGAAATCTGGACTCCAGCTCGCGTCGCGGGAAATCGGTTGATGAGTCTGACAGCGATGCAGTATGGCGGTGTGGGCGGGGATCCACTGTCGATCTTGAAGACGTTTGGTTTGTCCTGTAGGATTGGAGGCTGTTTTGCTCAATGTTCCGTGTTGTGATTCCAACTTCGTTTCAGACGGATCACCACCGATGATCCATCGCTTCTTGTGATCGGTTGGAAGGAATTCTCATCAATGTACTTCGTATCATCAAAGAACAAAATGCCACGGAGTGCAAGGTACATCACTTCCCGCCGGTGCCCATCATGGGCAGCCGGCGATGATGCAGTAAATGGTTCAGATCAATTCGAGCTATATGAGCGCTGCAGACATAACTATGCTAGACATGAAGATAAGTTACCCAAGCTTAGGCCTATCCTTACACCAACCATGGAGGGTGGACTGGGGTCTCCTGACAATGATTCCGTGCGGGGGTCCCGCCCACCAATACAGGAGTGCCAAATCACAACGAACGCCGGGGTCGCTTGCCCTCCACCCGACACCATAAAAATCGCTGCAAAACGCCGGAAAATGCTGAGTCGTTGTAGATAATCATGAGCTGTCTTCGAGGACATGGCAATTGGCGGCATCTTTGCGCTGCCTGAGCGTATCAATGGCTTTGCCAACTTCGTCTTTGGCCACCTCTTCCAGAGAGACTCGAGCATCAGGCTCGAGGGTTTCGATATCACCCACCCGCTCGTAGAGCATCCGGGAGATCCTCCGGTTAATGTCTGTGTATTCATCTTTGGAAACAAGCTTCGAGCGATAGTAGGGTTTCAGTTCGGAAACCACAAGCCTTTGAACGGCCGACTTGACCGCGGCAGACGGCCCTGACGGCCCCGAGCGGGAAGGGGAAGCATGGAGCGATCGCAGGGCTGCTGAGCGAACTGCAGCCCGGGGGATGCGACGATTCCAGCGAGGAGGAGGGGTGTGACGGGGGGACTGATCTTCATGGCGATCTTTGTCCGAGGCAATTGGAGAGACGTCCGGGGAGAACGGTGGGGAGGAAGGGTCTGCAGGCGACCCGAGTTGCAAAGGCGATATCGGTCGGTTCCTGCCATGTGGGGGCGGCGTTGTAGAAGACATCCGGGGAGAGGAGTGGTTAGAGGGAGCAGGCGAAATGGAAGGGGAGGTTAGACCGGGCGTGAAGTGATCGGTCGGGGCTAAGGAAGAATGGGCTGATGGACCGTGTGAATTGACGCCATTGTGAGTAGACGACGACTCCACCTCTTTCAGAAGCGATTGGAGGAAGCTCGGCTCGCTCGAAGGTTCGGCATTGATCCGAGCAGTGGCCTGTGCACTTGCAGCCCGCGATGACTCCCCGTTCTGCATAGCTAGAGCGGCCAAGTCTTCGGCCCTCCGAGTCCGGGGTCGTTTGAGCTTGCGTGCAGGCTCAGTAGGCTCCGGGGATGGGGACATCGTAGGCTCTTTACGTTTTCGTGCTGCACTCGGATCGTTCTCGATTTCTCGGGCACGCTCGAATGCATTCCAGGCTCTCATTTCCTCAAGCGACTCTGGCTCAGGGGTGGGCTCGCGAGGTACGCGGGGCCGTGACGGCCGAGGGGCCTCGATATCGAGCAAGGCCGCAGTATCCCGAAAGCGGTTGCTGCCACCCTGTCGTTCAGCAACTTCAAACCGACGTTGCCATGCGCGAAACTCACGCTGATTGGCTTCTTCCCGTCGTTGCTGTTGACGAGCGCGCTCCAACGCCCTGTCATCATCGAAAGGGAAATCCAAGTCAATGTTCAAGTGATCCCAAACAGACTGCCACACCCTTGCCCAATGTAGGGAATTTAGCTGATTTCTGCTCTGTAGCATTCGTTGCTGTGCTCTAGTACGACGGTTCCGTCGGTCCTGCGGTCGGGAACCCCTGTCAGTCGTCTCCGGGGAGCGTCCGAGACGACGTTGATTTTCACACCGTGCACAATACCAGGGCCCATTTGGCACCTCGTCGAGACCGACACAGTAGGTATGTGAGGGTGCATCACAGCCATCACATAGCAGAAGCAAGTCTTCGTTGTCCGCATCGCCGCAGACTGGACAAGGCTGGAAGTCAATGTAGTCATCGTCAATATAGTCGATAACCATCGAAGGATCGACCTCGGCAACTTGGGTTCGATCCTCCACGGCATATGACGAAATCACAGGACCTGTAATATGAGAAATCGATATGTTAGCCAGGGGAAACACCCACAAGGTGTAGAACGGGTATCCAGAGGCTTCAATGGTGGTTTGAAGGGGGTGATAAGGACTTACCGCCGGGGCGATCACTTAGTTCGACTACATTGAAACTCCGCCGGCAGATGGGACAGCTGTTGGCCCGTTCTACCCATGGTTTGAGGCAGTTGTTGTGCAAGATGTGACCACAAGGTAACAACTGGGCGATTTGACCGGGATCCTCATTGCCATCTACACCATCGACCTTGCTGGCAACGTTCGCCGACTTGGTCTCTGGCTCGAGGTCAAGTCTTGGCGCGGCCTCGGCGGCGACGGCAAGAGGATCGCTGGCGCTTTCGCCAAGGTCTCCTAAGCACACAATACAAGTGTCGGACATTAACAGAAGGGGAGATTTCAGATGTGTCTGCAGGAACGCTGAGAGGAGGCATGAAGAGAACTTGAAGGAAAGAAAATAGGAAAGTTTTGGGATGTAGGAAGAGAAGGGGGGGAGGGAGAAGGTCAGGTCGAGTGATGTGGGGAGAAAGCAACCGGCCTTTTGAAGGTGGACCGCCAATCCGATCTAACGCAAAGCAGGCTGGAGCCCAACGTGACCATCACCCCAAGAGCCAATCCTTCCCTCCAGAAAACGGCAAAAGCAGGCTTAGTCAGTCGTTGGGATGATGGCTTCAAGAAATGCCCTGGCCCTTGCAGCACCAGCAGGAGCACCAGCAGGCGCACTAGCAGGAAAGCAGTCACAGTAAGCAAAGCAGCTGAAACTAATTCAGACAGACCACGTTTCCCCTTTCCCCTCATCCCATTTGTTCTGCTGTGAATTCAACTCTATCCACCGATAAGTTGCAGACCGCCTCTCCCTGCCCCTGGGATGGACTTGAAAGATAGCGATCTTATCGCACCGCGTAGGTGGTTAAGTGAAAGTAGCATTTCTGGCGACCGCATTTCCTGGTATTTTGTCCCAGGAAGAGAAAATCTACGAGAAGTGTATGCAGATCATGCAAATACTGGTCGCCGACCAGGTTAGGGGATAATGATCAGGCAAGGAGATCAAACCACCCACAAGAACCGCAACCCTCTGCGATGTGAACCGCGCGTGTCGTGTCGAGAATCGAAGTCACTGTCGACGGGATTTCGCTGAACGAGGCAGGCTCTTAAGAGTTTGATGTCCCTCACATGCGGGGCGGCCACGAGAAAGAAGGATCACAAGTTCTCAATCCCATGAACCGAAAGAAACCAGAGGTCATACGAGTACATCGCAGAGCGTTGGCATGGTTCGAAGGGTGTGACTCGAGGACTAAGATTGGTACCGCAAATGACCTGGTATCACCGATTGCATTTTAAGTCTAGAAGGGGAAGTCTTAAATCGAGGACAAATTCGGTGCTAAACAACATCGGGGTAACGACGTTCGGAAACGAGAAGAGCGCTCATAGAAGTTTTCCAGATCTTAAATTGGCATTTTTTTATTTCAAACGTAAAGAAAAGGAAATCCCAACATTTAGACCTCCGCGATTTCTCTGAGACGGCGGATGGTGGAGCGGGTGGCAGCGGCGGCGGGGGTACTGTGTGACAAAAAAGTCCAGCGATCAGCAATCGTGTCACTTCTTGGAGCCTGCGAGGGGCCCAGTCTGGCTGGTTCGGAGGCAGGTCGACAGGTCGACAAATAGAGATGGCGAAACTTACGAGACGGTGTAGGCACCACCGGCAACGGTCTTCTTGCAGCCCTTGCACTCCCAGATACCAACAGCCTGGCGCTTGACGGTGTTCTTTCCGCAGAAGGTGCAGATGTAACGGGCGTGCTGGGACACTTCCATCTTCTTCACCTGCTTACGCAGGGAGGCACCGTATCTATTATCATGCCATCGTCAATATTCCATCGTGTCACGGGGGTGAAGGATTTCGATGTGTCCGTTGCTCGATAATCATCGTTCGTGTTGTTGCCGCGATCGAGGCTTTTCGAAATTTTTGCTGAGGGGTTCGGAGTGGGAGGGCGCGAATGCCTACCTGGTACCATATTTACCGGTGATGCCGACCTCTGCAATATTCAGTCAGTAATTAACTCGAAAGGCCAATTTCGCAGTCGTCTCGCGCAGAGATTCGAGGGTATACACATACTCTTAGTGCGCTTCGTCATCTTGGCTGGATCCGGCTGTTGAGGTCGAAGATGGATACAGTGCGGTAAGTCGAAATCGAGACGTGAGTCTTTCTAGTCGGGAGTGGTTGTGGGCGGGCTCGCTTAGGGCTGCACCTAGAGTCACGTGAGCCGCATCATACTTGGACTGCCTCTGGGATGGCATAGATTCGAGTAGTCAGGTTATGAGACAGTGAGGGTCATCGAACTCTACTTTTACTACATCTTCAAGTCTTTCTCTTCTATTTGACCTTTTTTCTCTTCCTCTTGATGACTCTCCTGGCCGCGTTACTGTGCGCGCATATTCTGAAGAGTCGTGATGACATAATAAATCCACGGTTGGGGCTTATGTAATTCGCCCTGCATAACTTAAGTTGCCATCAAGGTGATCAAGGTGCTGACACTTCGCTTACGAGTATTGTGCACACATGCTATTGCGTTGGGAAAGTGAAAGCTACTTATGCAGTGCTCATAGTACCTACTGTAATACACTCTATCGGCTTCTGTAGAGCAAAATTCAGTTCCCGAATTGAGCGGCATATAAGTGTCTGATCACATGCATGGGGCAGACTGATCTATGGTATGTCTGGATCCGGTTAGTGCGGTCTAGTACTCGTGCTACCACCGATCTGGCCGGAACCGAACAACCTCAGGCCAGCCATCCCTAGTTGTATAAACTCCGCTCCATGCGCGCATCGGGGTGCAGCAATTCCTCTGAACAACTAAATCACTGCCCCCAGCTGCGTACTTCGGTTTACGAACCGTCACTTCAAAACCTAAGTATTATCAAGAGTAGCAACCCACCCCGCCGGGATGGAGTCTCAGAGAGAGTACGACATCATTCTCCTCGGCCCCACTGGTTACACAGGACGCTTCTGTGCCCAGCATATCGTCAAGCATCTGCCGACCAACCTGAAATGGGCAGTGGGAGGACGCTCTCAGTCCAAGCTTGAGCAGGCCGTCAAGGACTTGATGGCTCTGAATCCTGATCGTAAAGATCCTGGTACTGTACCGCGGCTACACACGTTCTCTACACACATTAATGGATAGTAGATATCATTACTGTGCAGCTCAATAAAGAAGAACTCGACCCGCTGGTACGCAGGACGACAGTCATCATCAACTGCGTGGGCCCATACTGTTTGTACTCGACGCCGGTGGTCGAAGCCTGCGCCAGCAATGGAACACACTATGTCGATGCGTCGGTTACCCTTTGTCCACCGTTTGGCGTTCCTCTGCTGATTGCGCACCACGTAGAACCGGAGAAACCCCCTGGGTGAAGACGATTGTCGAGAAATACCATGAAACCGCCAAGTCGAACGGCGCCGTTGTACGTGCTGCTCGCGTCTTGTTTGCATAACGCCACTCTAACCACCCCTCTCAACAACTACAGATCATCCCCTCGGTCGGAATCGAAAGCGCCCCAGCAGACATGTTAGCCTGGGCTCTCGTCAAACGCATCCGCGAGGACCTCGCCTGCGACACCAAGGAGGTCGTCTCCGCCATTCACGAGATGAAGTACGTGTGCAACGCAGCCCTCAAGGCACTACACGACTTCCCTAAACTAACCCGACCACCAGATCCTCCGGCGCCAGCGGCGGCACCCTCAGCACGATCCTCACCGTCTTCGACACCCTCTCCTTCTCCGACATCGCCAAATCCACCGACCCCTTCGCGCTGGCCGCCTCGCCACCCCCGGCCAACGTCCCCCGCGAGCCCCTCCTCGCCCAGCTCTCCGGCGTCCGGTACGTGCGCGACCTGGGGGCGCTGACGACCTCGCCGTCCGGGCTCGCGGACGTCAACGTCGTGCACCGCAGCAGCTCGCTGATGCCCGAGTTCTACGGGCCGCGCTTCCACTTCCGCCAGTTCCTGCGCGTGCGGAACGCGCTCGTCGGGGTGTTCGTCCACTATGCGTTTCTGGCCGTGATCTCGCTGCTGATCTTCGCGCCGGTCCGCGCCCTGGTCCGGCGGTACGTCTACCAGCCCGGCGCGGGCCCCACGGCCGAGGCGTCGGCGAACGACCAGCTCGAGTACCGGGCGGTTGCGACGGCGGATCAAACGGTGGCGCCGAAGCGTGCGTTCGGCAAGTTGCGGTACCAGGGGGGCTGTTATGAGTTCACGGGGTTGAGTATGGCGGAGGCGGCGATGGTGATTCTGGAGAATGAGGAGAAGGTTAGGCGGGTCTCGCGGGGTGGGATTGTGACGACGGCGGTGCTGGGACAGGAGTTGCTGGATCGGTGGGAGAAGGTCGGGTGTCGGGTTGAGACGCAGGTGTTTGAGCATTAGCTTCGTTTTCGTTGCGAAATTTTTTCTCTTATTGTACGATCATAGTTGTTGTATCTGTATGTTTTGATAATTTTTTGTGAATTGTATGACGCAGTCACTTGGAACACAATCCAACCCAACTAGTAAGTATGAAGCAACCCAGGGAATCAATCCAGCAATTCCCACCCACAAAGACGTAACCCACAAATAAAGCAATACAAAAGCCCCCTTCCTTCAGGTAGGAAAAAGCCAAACTCTCACAACCTCGACAGCCCCGCCCTCCCAAAGACAACCTCCTCCAACCACCACGCAATAATCTCATTGACCTCCTCGGGCTTCTGCCACAGCGCCCAATGGCCCGTGTTCACCTGCTTGTAGGTCAAATGCGGGATGGTCCTGGTCATGCCGCCGCCGAGATTAGGCGGCAGGGCGGGGTCCTTGAGGGCCTGGATGAAGAGCAAGGGGGCGGTGATGCGGCGGTTGAGGATGGCCAGTTCATCCTCGTAATTGATCTTGCGGGTGCGATACCAGTTTACTATTCGCCCCGCGAATTAGCATAGACCTTCCACAGCCCAGCCCCCCCCCGGCCACACACTCATCCAGGAACAAGAGGGAAAGTTATGGGGACAAACATACAAGGTCCTCGCAGCCCATTCCTCGCAAACTCGGCAGCGTAGTACTCCAATTCCTGTACAGCAACACCAACAAGCGTTAGCTTCACCATCACCATCCCCCAGACGAAAGGCAAAAATACATACAACCTCACTCAACAGCCCCGACCCGGCCACCTTCTCCAGCCGATCCCACAGCACCCCGACCTCGGCGTCGAAGGCGACGCTCTTCTCCTCGTCCGCCGTGCGCCCGCCGTACAGCGCCGACAGGAACCGCGCGATCGCCGCCGTCCCCTGCAGGTTCCGCTCCAGCGCCCGGCCCCGGAACTGCAGCTGGTAGCCGAAGTGCGGCGCGATGCGGCGCTCCGTCAGCGCCTCCAGCGACAGGTACTTGCGCGTGGGCGGGGCGTAGGGCACGCAGACGGTGAAGACGTGCGAGACGAGCGTCGGGTGCCACAGGGCGACGCGGTAGGCGAGGGCGGCGCCCCTTTGCTCCGTCACTCGCTGTTAGCTGATTGAAGGTGTTGAAAGAGGGGGGGGGGGATGGGGTAACGGTACCAGTCATGTCCGCCGAGAATGATCTGGTGGGCGTCGAGGAGGGAGGCGAGTTCTTTGATATCGTTGGCGCAGTTGCGGTGCGAGTAGAGATGGATGCTCTCGGGGGCGTCCTAGCTGCTTCTTCAGCGATCGGGGTGCTTGGTGGTGTTTTTGTTGTGGTGAGTCCATACGGTTTGTCCGTAGCCCAGACAGTCCGGGGCTACTACTCTGAGCCCCAGGTTGATGAGCATGGGGATCTGGTAGCGCCATCCCATGGAGAGGTCGGGGAAGCCATGGAGCTGTTTTGGCCAGGTTGGTATACTTCAATTCGAGGCTTTTGTTTACACGGCGCCGATGACACTCACCAGGAAAATGGTGGCGCGGTATACTCCCGACTCCGGCTCGCTGTACAAGTAGCCTGGCAATATATGTAGGGATCAGCCTCGGGTGCGTCTGTCGCTCAACAAACTTGATCAGTGCGGTGCAGTGCATGGGTGTTAAATGTCGCATATCGAAGCAATGGACCACCAAGCCGATCAAAATATGCATGACCTTCCCACATACTGTATGTGTTGCCATTGAGGTTGGCGGAGCGGCGCTCGACTCGCGGGTCGCCGGTGACGTCGATCTTGTCCACCGCCATTTTCTGGATACCACAAGTGAAAGGGTGGTTTTATGCTGCGAGTACAAAACTACTTCGGAAAGGACAGTCAAAAGACAATTGAATTAGCAGAGCGGAAAGGTTCCTGGGCAAAGAGAGGAGAATCTGCCATACCGACTTTCTGTTTAATCTAAGAAATGGTACTTGATGGAGACTCCCCCGCCAGCTGTTCATCACGTGAAACTGAAGCTATATTTAATCCGCGAAGGCACCACGAGGCTGGGCCAGTGGAATTGGACATGCGACGTGACGCTTCGCTCAGTCAGTCAGTCAGTGAGTCTTCCAAATAAGCCGATGGAGTTAACGCAGCTATGAGAAAGAATGGCTCATGGAGACACAAGAGAGGGAGGAGGGGTACATCCCCAGTCCCCCATTGTTTGATCGTTCTGCCGAATATGCCTCGGCTAATGATCAGATGCAAGAGACAGCAGAATGCAGCTACAGTTACTACCATACATGCTCAGACGTACATCGTGCCTGCGTTCCAACTCCGCGCTTTGGCTTTGCGCAGTGTACAGAACGCTGCGGAATTCTCAGAATATGACCATTATAGAGTACAGTTAGATAGGATCGAATCGCCCATAGCTTCAGTTGGTTCTTCAGTAGATTACAGTGTCCTCCTGGTCCTCGACCACCTCTCCGCCGTCATCGTCGTGTGCGCGATGCAGATCATCGTGGCCGTCAGCCACAGACACGACGCTATCATTTGCGGGTGTGGTGTCTTGTGGGGCCTGTTCTGCCTCTTCGGATTTCGAGTCTGAGTTTTCTGCGCGTACAGCATTCTCCTCAGATGCGATCTTGGACTCGTGCGCTTCTGGTTCTGGCACCGACGCCGGTCCCTGAGCATCATCCTGTGTGGTTTCCGGCTTCTGCTCGTCCTCGGCGTTGGTGTCCTGGTTCGGAGCTGCATAGCGTGCCTCAAACTCAGCCCTCTCTCGGGCGACAGTTGCTTCCGCCTCGTGAATCTGTTCATCTATAGCGTCTTCATCATCGGACCGCAACTGCCATGGTTTGTAGTACTTTTTCAGCACCAACAGTTAGCGTTACTTCTCATACAAGCCAGCACCCCCATCACCCCTATAAAACACAAGAGACAAGTGAAAGACATACCAAAACAGGCTCCGCCTTCGTCTTAAGATACCTCGCTGTAGCCAAAATATTCTCATGCCGAGTCCGCATCTGCACATGGTAACAAATTAGCACTTTGCGCCGGAAACCACCCCGGGATTCCCAACACTGCGAAGCGATCCAGAATGACCAAAGAAAAGGGAGGGAAGCTCACCGCTTCCTCCTCATAAGCCCTCTGATACTTCTTCCGTCTCTCCATCCTCTCCTCGCGCCGCTTCTTCTTCAACTCCCCATATTCCTCATCCTGTAACTTGAGCTTATCCTGCTGCCGCTTCTCGATATCCGCCCGCCGTCGCTGAGCCGCCGTGTTCGAGGAGCTCTGGGAGAGCGTGCCCAGCAGCGCGCCGAACAGCCGCTGGCCGCGTTTGCGCTCCTCGTCCTTGCGTCCGGCGGCCGGTCGGCGCGGTGGTGGTGGTGCGCGCTTCGATTCCTCTGGAGATCTCTGGTCTTGGTCTGCTGTGGGTTCCGATGGGACGACAGGCGGGTGGTCGTCGTCGTTTGTTTCTGCGGCCTGTTCTTGTTGTTGTTCTTGGTCTTGTGGCTGGGTGGCAGAGGCGGAGGCGGAGGTACTCAATCGGCGGCGTTTGCTGTCTGTTTCTGTGCCGGTGGCTGTTACATCGTCGCCCGCCTCTGTAGCGGAGGAGGACTGTCGTCGTTTGAGGCCCGCATTTGTCGTTGTGTGATCTGGGGAAGGGAGTCTGGGCTGGTGGTCTTCTGGATCGGGCAGAGCTACTGCCGATGCGAGGGTTCTATGTATTTATCATAGCATCAGTAAAACAAGTCACATCCCTGAGAGCATGTGGCGTATGCATTTATAGAGAGGACTAGAACTGAGACATACCCTTCAGCCATATCCGCACTCAGAGACCAAACGGACCGGGGGAGGTTGTACGAAAGGGTGTCCAAGAAAACCGATAACACCAGAGATTAAGGTACATACACCTTGTAGTCAGGGGAACAAGCAACAAAAATGAGTGGCGGAGGAAGAGAGATCGGACGGAAAATGACCCACGACCGAGAGAGAGAAAATGAAGAGCGTTTCTCAAACCGACTCCCAAACCGATAACTTTAGTTAGCGATGCGATCGATAACTTCTGGCCAGCTGCTTCGGCGGCGGCGGCGCGGGACTGCTCCGTGCACGGACCACGCCTTACCCAATCGGGGTCTGCTGTTGGAGTTCCGAATTCCAATCCAGTTGCAGTGTCAGTGCTGGAGGAAGCGCGGCGATTCTTCTTCTTCCTTCCTTCTTCACTTCCTTTCTCACCTGGACAACACACACACACACCTCCGTCAGCTATTCACCCTTGCTTTGAAATCCTCTCCATTCATCTACGCCACCTACAGCGTACAAAACCCACATCTTCTTTGAGGCCCATCTCTCACCCCTTGCAACCTCAATCTCCTACCCTCACCCTTACCCTCAACCACAGCTATCACCACAACCCCTCTTACATCCTCAAAATGTCCCGCCACCACCCCGATCTCGTCATGTGCCGCAAGCAGCCCGGCATCTCCATCGGCCGCCTCTGCGACAAGTGCGACGGCAAGTGCCCCGTCTGCGACTCCTACGTGCGCCCGACCACCCTGGTCCGCATCTGCGACGAGTGCTCCTTCGGCAACTACCAGAACAAGTGCATCGTCTGCGGCGGCGAGGGGATCAGCGACGCCTTTTACTGCTTTGAGTGCACCCGCCTGGAGAAGGACCGCGACGGGTGCCCCAAGATCATCAATCTGGGCAGTTCGCGGACGGACCTGTTCTACCAGAAGAAAAGTTTTCGAAATCATTGACCTCCGTGCCACTCATCACCGCTTGATTGGGGGAAAGGGCATCCGGGATTTTGGTCCGATTTACGTGATGTGATGCTCGATTTTGCCTGCTCCGGAAGAAGCGCCTCGTCTTGGCTGTTACGAATGATTTGATAAGAAAAGACACACAGCTGGTGGAAGAACGCTCAGCTCTCTAGGTGCCGGGGTGAGGGGCTATATACTGTATCGATCTCATAGAGCAAAAAGCAAGAAAGATGTACAAGAAATCAGGGGAAACGTTGGGTCCACCTGGGGACTAATCATATTTACCGTCCGGGACGTCTCGGTCTCGCGAACCCGCGACTGGGTCCGGTGCTTTGTTGCGGGTGGACCTCTTCCTGCAGCCTCTCGCCGGAGATCTCGTCGGGAGAGGATGCCTCGATCTGCAAGTGCTAAATGTTAGCGGAAGCCCATTATTTTTTTTATTGAAGGCCGTTTGACTGACCTTCTTCGAGACCTTCAGTCCCTGCTCTTCAGCCAGCGCGAGCGCGTGCATGCGGGAACTAGCGTACAGCATGCGCTCTCGGATCGACGAACCCGATGGGCAGGTGTAAATGAAGACCACGGTGTCGGAGTCAGGGTAGTGATAGAACGTGTATCGCGGCGAGGATTCCGGGATGTGCGACTGGACGGCGTTGGCCTCGACGCCCGACTCAGCGACAGCCACCTTGAAAGCCTCCGACTTGACCTCGATGGCCTGTATTTAGTTTGTGAAGCAGATTCGTTAGCGAGACCTCCAATCCAGATGCAAGCAGGCATATCCAAAACCAGATCCTATCCTTCTTTTTCGCTGCCAGTGGCAACCCCAAGAACCAGATAATCACCCGCATCAAACCTACGAGATATAGGGGGAAACACATACCAACTGCACCAGCCCACCAGCCCGCAACCCCGCAAGAGCCGCCTTAACCTCATCGTCCACATGCATCTGGATGCGCATGCCCGACGCGCCCCCGCCCGTGCCCCCCGCGGCGAACAAACTGCCCCGCTGGAAGGTGCCCCCGATGCCAATATCCCGGCCGGGGGTGCCGGACCGGGCCTCCTCCTCCGCGCGCCTCACGGCCTCCAACTCCCGCTCCTTGTCGCCCATCAGATCCTCCCGCCTCCACCCCAGTCCTGCATCCGCGGTGCCACCGGCATCCTTCCGGGCCCTCTCCGCCTCCCGCTCCCGCCACGCCGCCTCCCCGATCACCTCCTCCTCGTCCGTGGCGAAGATGGTCGCCGCGAACTTCTCCGTGCCGAGTTCGCGGGCGAGCGTGGCGCGCGTCGCCGCGAAGAGGGTCTTGTTGCGCACGCCCGCGTTGGAGGGGATGTAGGTCAGGGCGAGGAGTTCATGTTGCGAGTCGGTGGTGGGCCGGCGGAGGAGCAGGTAGATCGGGGTCTTGGGTTCCAGGACGGTGGTGAGTTGCGGGAGGGAGGCGTAGAAGCTGGAGGCATTCGAGGTCGAGGTCGAGGCGAAGGGCAGCGCGGGTAGCGGGGTCAGGCGCTCGGATTGGATGGTCACCGGGAGGCAGAATTGGGTGGCGTCGGTGGTGAAGCTTGTGAAGGCGGTTTGGAGTTCTTGGGAGACTTTGGGGACGTATCATTAGTTTTGGGGTGGTTTTGTTGAGGGACAGGCAGGAGGGGGTCTTGGGTTTTTGATGGAAGGTGGCCGATGTCGTAATTGTCAGGGGAAGAGAGGTCGGGAAGAGGAACAGGGAAATAGCGGGGAGCTTGGAGACGGAGAAGAGTGCAGTTGAGATGGGAACGTACCTGAGATTCCGGACTGCATCTTGAAAGAGAGACACCAGGACTGATGTGGGTGTTCTCTGATGCTGGAGGTGGTGGTGGTGGTTGTTGCTGGCAGTTGATGGGGAAGAGCGACGGATGTTTACTGCGGAGTGGACGGAGGGGGCGGCCAGGGCAGAAGGGCAGAAGCGGTGTGTCTGGCGGGGTTCACTTCAAAGTTCAGTAAGACGAGCGGAAGAGAATCGGGGCATGCGGGTTTCTATTCTTAACTTCTACGTACTTATCTCGATTTTCAGTCCAATTCGCAAACCTTTCTCTATTTCCATACTTGATCAACCAGTCATTGCTACTCTGGGTTCATAATCATCATCATCATCATCATCATCATCATCATCAGGCACTTACAATCGATATTCACAATTCTAATCAACTTTCCAAAAAAGGTATAGATACAAAGGAAACATGCGACCAAAACAACACGACGTGATATATACAATTAACCCCGGATGTGAATCTTCCAGAATTGGCTATCCAGGCCTCCAACCAAACATATAAACAGGAATCCCTTATCTCAAAAGCAGTGATCGAAAACGCCACCATGCTCAATGGTATCAAATGCTTTCGAAAACACATGGCGGCTCACTCCTTCCTACCCGCATAACACCTTTTCTCCCCACGGTTACTCCTCAAAAGTGCCGCCAACGAAGGGCCACCGCGATGACTCAAGCTTGCCCTTCAGGAACTCATAGACCGTGAACGTGACGGCCTGGCCCGGGGCGACTCTCATCACACGGGGCGTGATACCCTTGTAGAAGGCGGCGGCGCCCTCCTGCTTGAACATGTCCTTGGCGATGACCACGATTCGGGTCACGGCGGACTGGCCGGGCTCGGCGCGGGTCTTCTGCAGTCTCGTCTTGATGGTGTCGATGGGAGCGTTGGAGAAGGGTCCGACGGCACCGGAGATCAAGCCGATGCAGGTCGTCTGGTAGGACGGAAGCTGCGAGTTGGCGTACTCGGGCTGGCTTCGCTGCAGGAAGGCCTTCAGCTCCGTGTATGCGGTGAAGTTGGCGGCCTGGTTCGTTCCCTGGCGGAGGGCGGTCAACGAGACACCGCGGTACAAGGTGCTGAACCCTTCCTCCCGGATGACGGTGAACAGGGCGTGCGGGGCGCTGCGGTACTTGGGGGTGTCCAGAGGGTCCGACAGACTGTGGTGTTGTGCTTGCAGACGGATCTTGATGACTTCCATCGGGTTGACCACCGCCACGGCTTCCGTCACACCAGCGCAGAGACCAGCTATTGAGGGAGAAAAAAATGTCAGTCAGGACTTCCCTCGGGCCGGCCCAATTCAGTGAAGCGCAGGCCTGTCGACATACCGAGGAAAGTGGCCTTGCTGGTCACGGCTCCAGTCTCTTTGTCCGCGAGCCATTGCTTGTACGTTTCGTAGGATGTGAATCGGATGGCCATCTTCGGAATGATACCTCCCAGAACGGCTCCGAGACCCTTGTACAATCCCAATGCGGTTTCTCTCTTGACAATGTCGACACCAGTGGCAACGAACCCGCGTGGTTTAACCTGGGTCAGGCGTGTCAGCCGGAGCGCGGATAGTTTGCGCGGAGGCGCTACTTACACCAGGGGCTCTGGCCCGACGCGACAACTGCATGCGGACTTTGACGGTATCTGAATGCCTGTCAGGGGACCATTCTGACTGTTCTTGGTAGGGTCGAGTGTCTTACCTAGGGGATGGCACACGAGGGCCTCCATCATACCCGCACCACCACCAGCTGTCGCAAGTCAGTATTGTGCGGCAGCGAGTGCGCCGGGAGAGACCAGAGCTTCGTACCGATCAAATTTACAGCCGGGGAAGCCGGCTTCTTGCCATTTCCTCCTTTCGCAGACATGATGAAAGACTGTGTGATTCAGAAAGTAGAAATCGGTGCAATTGACGCTCAGGGCTACACCAGGTAGAGTGAGAGCAGTCGAAGCGAGGCGATTGTATGCGCTTTCGTTGGCAATGGCAAAGACAAGGCAAGGAACCCAAGGCGGATAAAAGAAGGGAAGCAAGGAAAAGAGGAAAAAAAGAAAGAAAGAGGAGAATGAAAAGACCTCGTTCTGGAGCGCAGGGGAATCTTCTTTTTTTTTAATAGGGTGCAGGATTGACGGATCGGTGGTTCACAAGCAGTGCCAAATAATTTGCTGGTACGGGGAGATACGGAAGTATAGCAACTACGTTCCCTCGGCTCGACCAAGTCAAGGTATTTAAAATCGGCGATTGAGAAGGAGGTCACTGGATCTGGGGTCTAGCGGGCCAGTCGCGCAAAATGACTGGCCTGTCCCGGATAATAAGAGTCACAATAATACTAATAATGGGGATCGCAAAGGGGGAGGGGGGGGGGGGGAATGGGGACTCGGCAATGAGGATCTCTACTACGTACTTGCTGGGCGGACGGACAGGATGAGTTTAGCCCTGAGAAGCCGGGCGTGGAGAAGCTATGACGGGGAAGCGGAGGAAGCTTCGCTGGACGAGCGGAACTGCGGATGAGCTGCCGCCGCTGCAACAGCCGAAAATTATTCGCAACGAGGAAGAAGGATGAATATGATGGATGGTATGAGAGGAAATAGGACTGGATGTCTTTGATCTTTACTTCGACAGGGGAGGAGCATACGACCTTCTTATACGCTGGTCCTCCTCATTTTCTACTACGACCATCATATCAAGGCATCAGCTACAGTGAGTGCACTGACAGTACATCGGTACAATACATCATCCTCATGCTCATGTCGCCTGGGGGGGGGTCTGTCTCCTCCTCCACCACCTCCTCTCCACGTTGTCGTCCTCGCTCTTCCGAGGCTTCGGGTCCAAGGACGGACGGTTTGGCCTGTCAGTCTGGCAATCCTAGTGACTGACTGACTGACTTGGTTGTACCCGGCCAATCTTCCTCCGAGCGGTGCCACTGGGCAGGGAGAGCGGAACCACACACACACAGTACTTTGAACAGTCAAGAGATTCAGCCCAGCAAACTGCATCGGGCAAAGAACCAGAAACCACCTTCACATGCTGGACCCTTCTTGTCGTCATCTGCGTGTCGTGAACAACATCATCATCATCCTCCCACATTCAGAGTTTAGAAGCTTGTGACAGTGATCCCCCTCTGGAAAACCTTAGTCAGAGTTTCATGGCGAACTCAACTTCATTGTATGTATGTATGTACTGTAACAAGTGTAGCCCACCCTCCCACTCAGACTCACAGTCGCAGACTCGCAGGTAAGGTAGTCACGGGTATTCCCGGGCCAAGAACCTGGAGATCGAAAATGCTGCCGAGGTCGTTTTCCCCCTCAGGCCTTCTCCTTCCCCGGAGTTCTCTGGACCGGTCGCAGCGAGAGCTTCGGCTTGGGGGAGATCTCGTCCCCTCCAAAAAAAGAGATCTTGTGACTTTTGTGAACCACCGGAGTTCTACCTTTGCTCCGATTTTCGCAGGGCGACGGTCACATAAACTAAATTAAAGCGTGGTGGATGTGATTTTTTTTTCTGTTGCAGTATTTCCGGACGGAGTGCTTAACCCCCACGGTTCAGGTTTTATCCATGGTCTGCTGACCGTTTTTCCCCCGGCGGGTTGGCTTGCTTGCGTTGTCTGCATTCCGGCAAATTCTTGTTACATGGAGAGGACTCGCTTCTGACACGTACTCCGTACATTCACTGCAGAGTGCGGTAGTAGATGAAAGAATGATAGCGATCATCGATCGGATCAGGTGACTTCTTAGGCGTGGCGAGTTAAAGCAGCCTGAGGCTCGGATCTAAGATCTTTCACATGCTGCTGGTCGCACTGCATCGGAGGTCTGTCTAACCTGGTTGTGAGGAGTATCTCTGGGGAAGAGATGGTCTCCGACGAGGTTGGCAAGTGCCTATCTTATGCCTTGTGGAAGCTCTATAGTAGCTCTCTCGAGTAACGTTTTGTAGGAGCAGGATGATTAGGAGGGTCACGTGCTGCGACGGTAGATTGTTGGCCCGACAAGTTCCAGCTCAGAGTATACTGCTTCGACTTGGCTGATACTGACCCCGGATACTGACTGATACTGTGAATTAGGACGGAGTGCTCCAGACACGATCGTCAATCTAAGTCTTACCTGGCGCTACAACGCCGGAAGTATGTATGATAGAACAGCGCACATGCATGTCCACGCCCAACTTCAGGCAGAATGGGACCGCCCGGGAGATCTTTCAGCCTATCAGTTTATCAGGTCGGCCCTAGATTTTGACCCCGATCGACCACCGACACACAACTTGTCCATCATGCAGCGCGAAAATGGCACAATCCGAGTTTTTGCTCAGTAGCTATAAGGCGAGGGGAGGGAGACGCTTGGCAAGAACCACTGCACCTCTCTCTGGGGGACTCTTACGGAAAAGCTTAGTTGGATCAAAATCATGAGCGTGGCCTCGCCTGCCCAAACACCACCACCGCCATGGTACCGCCGGGGGCCCGGGGGCATGGGACAAGCCCTGCAAACGACGGCGCTCTTCATCCTGCACCAATGGCTCCTGATCGGGATCGGGGTCGTCTGCGTGCTGGCGTACTACTTCCCGAACGTGGCGAAGAACGGGGGCATCATCCGGTCCGAGTATAGCGTGCTGTACGGGGCGATGGCGCTCATCTTCCTGATCTCGGGGCTCAGCGTGCCGCGCGAGAAGCTGTTCCGGCACCTGCTCAACTGGCGGCTGCACGTGCTGGTGCAGGGGTTCTCGTTCGTGGTGATCCCGGCGCTGATGCTGGCGGTCGTGCACATCATCCTGGCGGGCGATCCGCAGCAGCGCATCGACCGCGCCGTGCTGGCCGGCTACGTCTTCCTGGCCTGCATCCCCACGACCATCGCCTCGAACGTGGTGATGACGCGCTCCGCCGGCGGCGACGACGCCGCCGCCCTGGTGGAAGTCATCATCGCCAACTTCCTGGGCCCCTTTGTCACGGCCGGCTGGACCATCGCCCTCCTGCCCGCCGACCCGGCCTTCGACCCCTGGCGCGGCGCCGCCGCCGCCGGCGGCGGCGACCTCTCCGACATGTACCGCGACGTCTTCAAGCAGCTCGGCCTCGCCGTGCTGCTCCCGCTCGTCGTCGGCCAGCTCGTCCGCTGGACCTGGCCCGACCGCACCGCCTGGGTCCTGCTCACCTTCAAGCTGCCCAAGCTGAGCACCGCCTGTCTGCTGTTGCTGATCTGGTTCGCATCTCCCTCCCTCCCCGATCCCATCCCAAGTCTAACACACCCGAAAAGGTCAACATTCAGCTCCTGCTTCGCAACCGGCGCCCTCCAGACCCTCTCCGTGCAGACCATCATCTTCGTCACCCTGTTCAACATCGCCCTCTACATCTTCATGACAGCGGCCTGTTTCGTCCTCTCCCGGCCCCCCGCCTTTCTGGCGCGTGTGGTGATCCCCATCCCCGTGCCCGGCTTCCTTTCCCGGTTCACGGCAGCGGGGAGGAGGAATCCGGGGGAAGACGACCCAAAAGCGAGGAGGGTGGAATTCCGGCCGTTTCGGCCCATGGACCCCAAGGAAGCCATCGCCGTGTGTTTCTGTGCCCCCGCCAAGAGCAATGCGCTGGGCATTCCGTTGCTGTATGCCATGTGGGGGTCGTTGGAGCTGTATCTGAAGGCGAAGACCTCCGTGCCGGTGCTGTTGTTTACCACGGAGCAGATCTGTGTCGCGCATTTCTTTGTGCATTGGTTTAAGAAGTGGAGGGTGCGGGTGGAGGGGACGACTCGAATTGGGGAGGGGGAGGGATGGGGGGATGGGGATGCGGCGGTTGCGGGGAGGAGTGGAGGGGACGGTAATGAGCAGGAGGGAGTTGGTTCTGTTGAGGAGGGAGTAACAGGGAAAGGAGGGACCGCGGAGAATGGGGAATGGCGGGAGAAGGACGCTTCGACCCTTGTATAACCGGCCAAATTTCGTCAATAGATTCGTACAATAGAATAAGAATTTACAGGAATAAGGAAACAGAACGTGGTTGGGGACAAGTCGATTACGACCCTATACATTGAATAACCACAGACCATGGTTTCGTCATCAGATATAGCTCACTTTCACCCCCATCCCTATCGTCCCCTTGACTTTCTGCCATCCCGCGCCTGTGATCCTCCGAATGCGCTCCCGGATATCCTGTCGGCTCAGCGCGAACAAGATCCCCAGCATGAAGAGCATCGTCCGCGCGAACGAGAGCGGGTTCCCCGCGATACTCTTCCGGATGAACTGCATCAGATTGCGGACCACATTCGTCAGGGCTTGTGACCGCTTGGCTCGCGTATCGGGCTTGTCTGTCTTTTTGATGCTTTTCGAGCCGGACGGCGAGAACGCAGTGCGGCCAGTGGCAGAAGCTCCAGTCTTCCCATTGACCTGCTTCTCGGTGCTCTTCCCTCGACCCTTGATACTGCCGTTCGGATACGTCTTCTCAATCCCATAATCCACCTCGCTGCTGCTCCGGCCATGGCCCTTCGACTGCGACTGCGCGGCAGCAGCAGCAGCAGCAGCAGCAGCAGCGGCGGCGGCGGCATCCTCTTCCACCCGCCGTCGTTCAGCCTCGCGCGCTTGTCTTTCGAGCTCCGCGTCTTTCTCCCACTGCAGCGCCGCAGCGCGCAGCTCGCCTTGCTGCTTCTCCTCCTTCAACCCCTCTAATGTCTGCAAGAACACGTCTTTCCGTTCTTCGTCGAGGACTTCACTCAGGCTGATGAATTCCTGCGCGTAATTCCATTCCTCGTTGCGGGGGAGCACATGCAGCGTGAACAACTCGATAATCCGCACCCGTGCGTTCAAGTCCTTCGGGGTATCCGTCCCGCCATTGGCTCGCTGCAGTGACGTGGTGGACGAGGAGTGGTCGCGCAGATGCTGCTCGGTGATATCTAGGTTCGGCTGACCGGACGACGAAAGATAGGTTTCAAGTCGCTGTTGGTTGAGTTTCTGCGATGGCATATGGCTGAGAAGTAGGGTGGCGCTGATAGAATCGGGTGTGGTCAGTTGGCAAGATCGAGCTGTCAACGCTGAGGAATTCACTCACAGATTATATACAACTTCCGCGTCGACGGAACCCTCGAGACCCTGGTAGCCGGTCTGCACGACGGTCTCCCAGATCTGTCCCTCGCGAACTTGGGACGAAATAGCTTTCCATTCCTTTTGTCCGAATACTGCCTTGCCTTCTTCAGGCCCCAGGTCGACAATGGCGCTCAGCAGGGTGATGTAGAGATTCCAGACTTTGATCCGCCACGTGGGTTGGGCGGCGGCGATGGGCGGTCCGCCGAGGGCTGAGGAGGAGTCGCCGTTGGTGAATTGCTCGTCCTTGCCGCTGGGAGAGGTGATGGCGGGTTCCAACGCGGCGAGCGCTTCTTGGAGCCGTCGTGTGAGAAAAAGTTGAGAAGCTTTTTTGTAGGTCTTGGAGCAGAGTTTGGAGGGCGAAAGTGGTGATGATGTTGTTGTTGCGGAGGAGAGGTGTTGCGACTGAGATGCCGATGGGTCGGCCATTGTAGCTACCGCCAGCGGGAATGCGACAGGCGACTTGAAAGTGATAGAATGGGGGTGGGGAATGAGGAAATGAGAGGTACAATGCTTCCACGGAGAAATTCCACAATTGTAAGTGTGGTTGACAGGCAGATTGTACTTGGAAGGAGGTTGGGGTTGGGGAGAGGAGGACGGAACGCTGTGACACTAAGTAAGGTAGTAGAGTTGGTTGGTCGAAGGCCCGGTACTCCTTCCCATACGGACCGATCGTTTGCTGCTTGCTGCTTGCTGCTTCCAGCTTCACCTCGGCTTGTTCGACAGTCCGGGGTTGTTGCTCTGTCACGGGACAGCTGCCTCAGGCTACCACCCCGCGTTAACGGTTATTCTGTCTGGTGACGGCTTCATGCTTCCATGCTTCATGCATTCCTCCGCCTCCAAGCATCGACTGTGGGTCGCTAATAATACCCATCAATCATTTTCATGTTTAACGGAGCGGACAAATTAGATCAGTGACCACCGCGTTTGAAACAACAATCACAACGAGATGATATCGTCAAATCAGAGGAATCTCTAATGACCCTTCCAGACCATCCAGATCATCTTCGTTCCTTGAGTCCTTTCTTCCTACCCCTGGTTTCGCCTGATAAGCAAAACATTGGCCTCAGTTCCTGCCCACACCGAAGTCTGTGGGTGGTATATTTCAACCTCGCTCAATCTAGACCCCATTTAGTCTCATTCTCTGAAGGCAATCTACTATCATCATTACTCTTATTATTATTGTCATCCCTCAACCGTCTACTACGCATAAATAGAAAGCATGGATATCACCGCTCAGAACTTTGGGCTAACTCTCCCTATGCTCCTAGACGAGTTGTCAACCTGCTGTTTTGTAGCCCTGGACTTCGAGTTCTCAGGAATAGCAAAATCTCTCGATGGAGGCACGAGCCGGAGGAGCACGCTTCAGGAGCGGTACGAAGAGGTCAAGACATCTGCCGACCACTTCCAGATTCTGCAGGTCGGCTTGACCATCTGTCATGAAGACCCGAAGGAAGGTTGGGAGTCCTCCATCGATTTGCTTCCCGAACAAAGGCGCTAACTGGAAGGCGAAGGTATCTACACCCTGCGGCCGTATAACCTGTATTTGAGCCCGATCATTGACGACAGGCTCGGAATCGAAAGGCACTGGTCCTTTCAAAGCAGCGGTACGCTTGTCGCAAAGCCCGCTGTCTCTGGTTACTAATCTGCTCTTCCATTCTAGCTGTTTCGTTTCTCTTGACCCACAGGTTTAGCATGGACTCGCTCTTCAGAAATGGCGTGGGTTACTTATCTCGAGACGAAGAGATCAAGGCCGTTGCCAGGGTCACTGAAAGGTTCAAACGTCCGGAAGCGACGACCACAATAGGTGTTGATGAAACCGAGTCTGAATCAATTGCCTTTCTCCAAGAAGTGCGACGTCTTGTGGATGAGTGGCTTGCGCTTGGTACAGTATGTCCCCTCTCCTCTACTCTGTGATGCTCGTCTGATTTCCGGCAGGCCCGTGGTAACTACCTCAACATTCCACCAGCCAGTCGTCCCGGTGCAGTCGAAAAGCCTGGTCTCATGCCGGTGGAGCTTAATAGATTCCAAAAGAGACTCATATATCAACTTATAGAGGTGGAGTACCCGTTGCTGAAAGCTTTCGGACGGCCGGCCGGGTTCCTGCAAATCATAGACCGCGACGAGAAGCGGGAACAAGCCGTCCTTGCGCAGAAAATCGAGTCTACGCAGAAGAGAGCTTGGGAACAGACGGGGTTCAGATGGGTCGCCGAGGCTCTGGCTGGTGGTGATCTCACCAATCTCCCGCAGGACTACTTCAGCAACCGCTGGGCAGGCTTGCAAGGGCCAAGGCCCCAGCTGAATTCAGATCAAATCAAGCAAGGCCTGCGAGCCACTCGACCAGTGCTCGTGGGCCACAATCTTTTCACCGACCTGATATACTTCTGCCGATGCTTCTTCGGGCCTCTGCCGGATCGTGTCGAGGAGTTTCAATCGATGACTCATGAGATGTTTCCTGTTCTGATGGATACAAAATATATGGCTACCCATGATTGCGGTTCCATCAACCCTACGTCTTCCTTGCAAGATATTCACAACAAGCTGGCTCCCAACCCTTACCCGAAGACCAGTAAGTGGCCTTTACCAGGTCCGCCATCTAGATGAGACTAACGTACCTGCTTCTGCTAGAGCTTGCTTCTCGGCATACAAAATACGAAGCTCAAGGCATCAACCATGAGGCGGGCTATGACAGTTTGCTCACCGCCGAAGTCTTCATCAAGCTCTCTGCACAGCTTCGGGACCGGGGCGCAGACGATGAACCTACACCGCCAGCCCAGGAGCTTATCTGGCAGGGTCAACCGATTACACAGATACAGACTCCAGACAGGGGCGCATACAAAACTGAGTTTGGGCAGGGCCAGAGGCTGAGCCTGCCTATCCAACAACAGAATCGAGACAGAAGCAAGAACACACAGGGGACAGGATTAACTCCAAAGTCTGGTCGGCCTGCGTCGGCTGAGTCGCACGAGCAGCTCGTTGAGCACACGATCAATAATTATATGAATCTCCGCACGGGCGAGGCTGAGGAGGCCAGCAAGAGCGCGGCTCTCAGTGTCAGCGCCGGGTCGCCAGGAGCGTCTGGGATGGCGCTGAGACCCAGTAACTCGATAGCAATCCAAGATAGAGCTAACCGTGGACGGCTGATCCCTCGACTAGACGCCAAGTTCTGGAGCACCTACGGAAACAAGTTGCGTGTCTTTGGGACGCAAGAGAGGGTGTGCCACTTTGGTTGAAGCGGATCGAGACCACCAGAAATAGCAATCCCATAGACTCCGGCATGAAGTAATGTAGCGATGAGCCTGTGATTTACATTTACTACAAGTTGCTACTAGCCCGAGTATCCCAATTGCCCAGCGTAACTAAACTGAGTAATGGCGGGGAATGTATGCAGCGTCTATCTAACAGTACACCTTGGTTCAAGAAGGTACCGCTAGCGAAAAATGGCCGCAAAGTACTCACTCTGAGCACCGGAAAAATGATCGACTGGTCGTGGAAAAACTAGAACAGTGACGATAAGGAAATGGTGCCGTGAGGAGAAAGAAAAGAAAAAAGAGGGAACGGATTTGGTGGGGACGGATTATAAAGGGCCTGGTCACGTGCAATGCTAGCCTTGGGACGGGACTAGAATTGTTCCGGCTGGAGTGCCGCCGACAGACAGACAGAGAGAGAGAGAGAGAGAGAGAGAAGCAGGTGACCGCCGCGCCGCCAACTTTTCTCGTCCAGTATCGGCGTCCGGGAGGGAGAGTATATTGACAATCACACCCCCCCCAAACATTTCACATAGCCCTTTGGAGAGATGTCTTCCGGGTCCAATGGTGCCAGGCGCATAGCGTCGCTTCTGCGTGAGTGAATCTTAATTTTCTGTCTTTCCCCATTTTGCTTTGCAATCGGACGACGGACAGCTAAACTGTTTTCTATCTCTCCCAAACAACAGGGCCTTCCGCCTCCGACTCTAGAGTGTGCAGAAGCTGTCAAGAGACCATCGTCCGCCGACAATATGCCTCTGCTGCGACGACGCAGGGCACCCCCGAGACCACGACGGCGCCGCCCAGCTCGGCCTTCCCCGTCGTGAAGCCCACCCACACCATCAAAGCCGGCGTACTGCTGTCCCGGCAGCCCCAGATCACCCGCGACCTGACCGATTTCGAGAAGGCGTACTTCTTCTACCAGCGCCGCCTGAACGAGCGGCTGACGCTCCCCTTCACCAAGTACTTCTACTTCAAGCGCGGCACGCCCGCCGACGAGGACTGGAAGCGCAAGATCCGCGAGCGCCAGACCGCCGCCCGCGACATCGGCAAGTACAACGCCTACTCGAAGGACGCGTGGAACGACGAGCTGCTCGTGGGCGCCGTCGAGTCCGACCCGGCCCACCAGGTCGAGATGCTCGTCCAGGACGCCGAGGCCACCGCCAATGCCACCTCCCAGGACACCAGCAAGAAGGAGGAGATCCCCCGGCCGTTCCCCCGGTGGACGGAGGCGGATGAGAAGGGCGACGACAAGAGTCTGAACCGGGCCCTGCAGCGGACGCTGTATCTTCTCGTGCAGTCGAAGGAGGGATACTGGAAGTTGCCCAGCTCGGCGGTGGAGCCGGAGGAGACGATGAAGCAGGTATGTTTTTTTTCTTCTCTAAAACATAGGTGATTGTGAAAACGCGGCGTCCTCTAACCTATCGTTGCAGGCTGCCCAACGTACCCTCGCCCAGGCGGCGGGTGTCAACATGAACACCTGGTTCGTGGGCTACCACCCCGTCGGCCACTACGTCTACAACCTCCGCAAACCCTCCTCGGAGCTCCGCGGCGAGAAGACCTTCTTCATGAAGGCGCGCATCTTCACCGGCCAGGCCGACTTGACTGGCAATGCTGATAACCTGACCGATTTCAAGTGGTTGGCCAAGGACGAGATCGCCAAGTACGTCCGGCCACAGTACTATGCCAGCATCAAGAACATGTTGGCCGAGCGGTAAACGAAAACCTCCTGAGGATGTTTTTGCTTCGTTTCCACTGCTGTTAGGATAGAATTAGATTGTTGAGGGGGTCTGCGGGGTGTGTGTGGCAGTTAGAACCGGGAATATCTGCATATATTTTGTATGTGTGTGTGCGTGTGTGTGTCATGTATAACTAGCTTTTTTTACTACCAAAGTTCTTATTCCAGTTAACTGTTGGATATCATGTGCAAACAACCGTCTGCTGCCTTGACCTTTCTCTTGCAATTGCACCCCTGAACGCCATGCCACTCACGAGAGAGATATTTACCTAGTAATCCCCCCGATGATAAGGAAAAATCATAACACCCACACGGACGAAACCAACATCTCAAACAACAAACCAAACCACAAAAATAGAACCATTCACTTCAAATTAAACTTCTGCCCCTGCACAACCGGCTGCCCCTTAGCCACCACCCCCTTGGCCAAACTCTTTCCACACATCGGACAAGCTAGATCTACCCGTCAGTAACTTAACGTAACTCATGTTACTCCCATAAAAAAAACACAACACAACCCCTCTCGCAAAGCACACCACCACAAAAGGAGGGGGGGGGACAAACAATTCTTCTGATAAGCGCACCGCTGGCAGTACTTCCGGCCCTGCTCGGTCTTGGTCTTGCACATCTCGCACGAGGACGAGTACGCCGCGTAGGGATTCTTGGCCTTGGAGCTGAGGAGTTTACTCTGGCGTTTTCGGGTTAGTGACAGGTACTAGAAGGATTGGGGAGCAGCGACTAACCTTCCCGATCCCCGTGTTCCCTAACGTGGGTTTCGATTTGTCTGCGTGACTGCTGCTGGCGCTGCCGCTACCGCTGGTCGCGGGGGAGCCGTAGTACATCTCGCTCTTGCGCTTTACGCCCGGGGTGGCTAGTTCGGTTTGTTTGAGTTTCTTTTGGCATTTGGCGCAGACCATTTTGGTGTTTTTTTTTTAGCGGTTGGGGTGGATGGGGTGGGGGGGTTTATTGGTTTGTTTGGGGTTGGAGTGTAGAGCTGAGGGGGTTTCTATGAGGGATTAGGTGAATAGTTGAGGTGTTGGATGCTTGCTGGTGGATGGATGGATGGATGGATGGATGGAGAGATGTGGCGCGGGGCCGGATGGCTATGACGCCACTTGGTGGTGTGGCGCAGTTGCTGGGGGGGTGTGCTGCGTTCGATGTCTTTGAGTAAATGATCATTTGTTTGGTTTCAGTTGGACTCTGGTAATTGTAGTTTCTAGGAAATGGATCGGACTATAATCTGCTGATGATTGACTTGGGTGTTCACTACTGAGGAAGGTTTGGTAAGAGTGGTTTAAGGTGTCATGGTTCTATATTTCTGCAGGCAACTGGCCGCGTACTAGAGGTCCAGAGGTTTAAAGCAGTGTTTAGAAGCAATGCCGTTGGCCATGTAGACCTCTCACTAAGTTCCTCACAAATGAAAGCACAAGATAGAGTCACTCGTCAACTTTAGTAGTGGAATGGTGCTTGTACTCAGAACAATGCTCATCCAATTACAGCAGGGTTAATATCCCACTAGCAAGTGACAAGTCATAGTTCGAAGAATATTCCAGGTCATCGTGCCTTAGCCCCCAAGAAGGCCAATAACCACCAATATCCCGAAAACACATGCAAATCCTCGGATTCGCCTGCAGTTTGCTTGGGCTGACACAGGAACGAGATCCACGCCACGCTGGCCGGCTGGTGTGTATCCTTTCGAGACCCGAGACGCAGCTCGGAGGAAACCTGAAATCCACTTTAGCGAAATCATAACAATATGGATGGACTACAGCTGGATAAAGTGCAGTCATCTGCGACGGTGGGTGGTGTGGCAACTGGCGAGGATTAAATACTGACTTCGCCCACTTCGGCTTCAGCTCTTCTTCACCCACCCCCAACCTCGAGCCCACCAATGTCCGACCAGCAACTCCCAGTCGTTATTGCTCAGCTAACTGGACTCTCAGCTGTTCTGGACTCTCAGCTTTCCAGGGGTCCACTCTTCAGAGACCTGCATCGCATCATGGCAGGGCTGTCTGGTGGTTGCTTTTTTGTTTCCCAATGGCTGCAGGGTGACCCGCCACTCGTGAACTGGTTGGTCTGCATCGGTCACTGATGCGTTGCTAACCCAGACCGCAGACTGGATGCTTCCAGACGGCGAAAGCGAAGACCAAGACTGAGAGAAAGCTACTGACATAAACTGACAAGAATAGAAAGCACGCCTGCGCACAGGAAAGAAGAGAAACATCAAACTATTGGCGGCGCATGGTGCACAGTCAAACCAACTCTTTGGAACCTTTAGCTCCACGCTCCACGCTCCACGAGCGCCAATTCCAGCAGAGTGGTTCGGCCACTTGCTGTCCAATCTTTCTGCCAGACCTTCATTCTGGCAAAGCCAACCAACATGCTCTGTCCCCAGCCATGGCAATATAAAACAGTGGCCCCTGGTGGTGGGAATTGCCACGGCTGGGCGTTCTCATCCTCGGGCTTCTTGTCAGATACCCGCCGATTTTCGTCAGGACACAATACATCACCAGTGGCTTCTACCATTGTTTCTCCTAGATTGACACGTATCAAACGTCACCTACACCTTCATCCTGCCTGAGGTCTACTAGACTGTGCTGGAGGAGACAAACTTCGCCAAAAGTCTTATCCCTGACTCTGGCATTTTGCTTTTTTTGTCAGATCCTTCTTGGCCGCCCGGACCAGGCTTGGACTTCCTACTAGCTTCTCGACTACTGACGCCTTCTTCCCTCATTAGCTCTCGATCAGCGGAATTGGACGGCACGTTTAGGTCGAACACGGCGTGGCCAACCGGGGGGGTGGTGAGTCCCTTGCTTCAAGGAGGTTAACGAAAGGGGACCTCGACTACACAGCGGCACACCTTCACCGCGATTCTATCCTCCCAATTTTCTCTCAGATATTTCTTCTACTCTCTCGACGGAATTGATTTCCTTAGTCTGACGACCGTTCAATGCTTAAGGTTTGAACCTCAAAAGTGGTGGTTGATCTAGGGTGCTTGTCATACGTCCGGGCGGGTCAAACACGGGGTTCTGCTGCGATATAGATTATACGGATCACACGCTCCCCAGGAAACCGAGACAATGCCTCCCAATGGCTCTTCGTTCACATCTTTGAATCTCCCATCAGCATTTACCCTCCCGCGATGCATGGAGTACTTCACCGTTACTGCGGGACCCAACACGGATCTTTGGCGCAAACCAGGTGTCCGTGACACCGCCACCGCTCCAATCGTCTTCACCTCACTCCGACGCCGGTTCGAGGTCGCCGAGGTGACCGTGACCGCGGATTGGGAGATGGAATGGGATCAAGGCGGGCTAGTGATCTTCGCCGGAGCGGCACCGCAGTCATCAGAGGATGGACCGATGCACCATGTGCCATTATCACCACCGCTACCGGGAACGTCTCCCGCCGCCGCCGCCGCTCGACTCGGAGCCACACCCCATGCTAATGTCAGCCCCGGCAAATGGGTCAAAGCCGGCATGGAGTTCTGCTCCGGGACGATGAATGTCTCCAGTGTTAGCGCCACGGTCGACGGCGCGGACTGGTGCGCCTCGCCGTTATCCTATCCGGAACACGGCCCTGCGATGGTGCACTCGCTGCGGATCAAGCTGGAGCGAGTCGGCCACGCCCTCTGGATCTGGTACCAGGTGCCCGCCGTCGCGGCGCCGTATGCGATGATGACGTCGGGTGCGCTGCCCAGTGGGATGTGGCGCAAGCTGCGGGAAGTGACCTGGTTCTTCTACGGGGTCGAGGACAAGTTCGTGCACGTGGGCGTGTACGCCAGTCGCCCGAACCGGCTGTCGCGCAGTGCGACGATGTGGGAGATGATGAATGGGGATGGGTCGGAGGGGACGGGGGCGGTGGATGGATTGGTGGTCGAGTTTGAGGATCTGGAGATTTCTTAGGAGTTGATTCTTGTGCTGGAGCTTCTCGAAATGCTCATGGCGATGTTTGCTGCTGCAGGATAGCATGCATGATGGGCGTTTCCCGGGTTTTCACGAGTTTGAAGACCGCTGCTGCTGCTTCTCTTTCTTTCTTGAGTGTGTCTCCTTGGTAATCTGGTTATGGCGAGAGCGGAATCGGCGTCCTTGACGGGGAGCTTTCAGTGGGAGCTACTTAGGTGTCTGGATGCATTGAGGGTCCAAGTTGCTATATAGGCTTTTAGGTACTGTCCAATCTACCGAATGTTCTCGTTTCTAGAGATCGAGAGGCATATCCGACCTCCTCGCAATGACACCTTATTCTTCGGCGTCATTGGCCAGCATCCTCCTGGAAAATGTATTTCATTTTCGAGTCGATGCATCGCCACCCACTCCATTCTTTGAACAGCTGATGCCATCGACAAGATTTTCTTAAGTCGTGTTCGTGTTCAGGAACTGTCCAGCAACCCATCGCAATCTGTGCAGTCCAGTCCAGTCCAGTACACTCTTCTTATTCACCCACATAAACATCGACGTTCGCGGATCCGGCCCATCGAAACACACATCTACCTCTCTGGCAGAGATGCATGCATGCAACCCCGAACCGGTCAACAGACCACCGAGTCCAAGTAGTCCAAAGATCTTCCCGAGTTCTCTGCCTAGAGTTCGGGTATGGCCATGCTCAACTGCCTCTCTTATCTGTTGCCTGTCTTATCTACCTAGGTATAGCGAAATCAAACCAACAATCGCGGCGTTGTCATGCGACAGTTGCCCGGATGGAGCAGCCCCTCCATAGCCAGCCCGGTGCCCGCCCGTTCGCCTAGGGCCAGGGCAGGGCATGGCAGGGCAGGGCACCAAACCCCTCGACGCTTTCCGTGGGTTCCGCTCCCGACCCTCCCTTCCTCTCCTCTCCACCGCCGGGCCTGTTCTTGAGAATAGTGGAAACGAGGATGGAGAAAGGGGGAAAAGGTTTTCTTTTTCAGTGTACTGCAATCGCCTCACAATCAGGGGAGGGAGAAAAGGGATACGAGAATTTGACGGGTTATAAAAAGAACAGATCCCCCCAATATTTCGGCAATAAGGGGGAGGGGCATCATGGTGATGGAGACGGTAGATGGACTCGACTCCGCAGTGTGGGATAGGGGAAGATGAGAATGAGGGATACGAGAAATTGAGAGACGAGACAAGCCTCCAGGGTTCAGGTTGTTGTGTGAGTGAGGTCCTTTTGAGTGGCTAAACAATGGGATTGATTTTGGAATGAAAGCTTTTTTTCCCACCGGTTCATGTGCTGCACTTGGATGTACTGTACTGTACATAAATAATTTACTGCAGTGTAGTGTAGGAATGAGTAAGTAAGTTATAGTTACTGTAGTCAGCTTGTTCCCCAATGGTTGAGCAGGTAACTTAGTGCCAGCACAGCAAGCAACTGTGGGACCCCCTCTCTCGGAGGCTGCAGCAGCGCAGCAGCGCAGGAAGATCCTGCGGCGGAGATCTTGGTGTGCATATCGACTCCGTAAAGTCCAGTAACCTGCACCGATGGGGAATGCCCAGATCCGAGAGTCTATTCAGTTACTCCGGCCTATACAAATCAGAACTTCTGGTCCGATGGATGTTTACTCGAATGCTGGAGCTGGTTGTATGATGTTTTTTCTTGTTGTTTTGTTTTGTTTTGTTTTTCCCTCTCTTCCTTGGGGGGGGGGGAGCGCCCGGTGGAGATCCCGAATCACAGGAAGGGAAGATTATTGATGGCGCCACTATTTGGGG